TTGCCTTCTGTTACAAAAATGGAAGCGTTGGAAATGGGTACTTGCGTAGGATTTTCACGTCAGACTGGCTAAAAACGGAAATTTCCGAGGATTTCTTACAGAACGCTGCGAACAATCCGAGAAATGCCAGCGGTTCCGCAGCTCTCTTTGATCTGCCAGTAATTCCGCAGAATGTGTCTCTTACATTTTGTCACCAATAAAGGCTGGGTTCGTACTGATTCCCATGTTCTGGAACTGTTCCCGCACAGTTCTCGCACTGTGCTAGAACTGTGCGGGAACAGTTCCAGAACTGTGCTGCATGCAATGCAGCCGCCCCGCACCGTTTTGAACGCCGGGAGTGAAGTTTGTCCGTTCTCAGCGGGTTTTCTTTCAGATTTCTCCCATTTTGGCCTTATCCCTCCTCCCCGCTTCGCTTTTTTGATCAGCCGAACTTCGAAACTCGAAGCGGGGTTGAAGAATGAGCGCTCTTCTGCTCTTCGTATGCGATATCTTGTGCTTGTCCACACCCTCTTCGCTATTTTTGTTCAGACCTACTTCATGTGTTGTAGCAAGTCGCTGCGTAATCTCGCATCTGTATTGAAATTGACATAGACAAGTCTCTAGAACACATGAAGTAGGCCTGAATAAGAATGGCAGAGAAGATGGACGAGCGCACGAAGGCCTATTTTCCCGGATACATGAAGCAGAACAGCGTTTAGTCCTCAACCCCGCTTCAAGTTCGCAGCTCCTCCCATCACAAGGAGAAGCGGGTCAGAAGAAAGAACATAGACGCAACGATATTGAAAAAGGAAAGGGGCTGAAAACGCCCAAAAACGAAACTCATAGAAACAATAGACAAGTCCCAATTCATGCAGTTTCAGAATTGCTCTTAATCTCTAATTCGTGGCATATGGCTATGGAAACTACGCAGCCGCTTCCTGGAACAGTTGAAATAATTTTGAGCAAAAATAGCGAAGAGAGAGTGGACGAGCACAAGATGTCGCATACGCACAGCAGAAGAGCGCTCATTCTTCAACCCCGCTTCGAGTTTCGAAGTCCGGCTGGTCAAAAAGCGAAGCGGGGAGGAGAAATAAGGCCAGAGTGAGTGAAATCTGAAAGAAAAACTGTTGAGAACGGTCAAAATTCCCCAGCTTCCGCCGTTTAAACGGTGCGGGGCGGCTGCAGCGCATGCAGTACAGTTCTGGAACTGTTCCCGCACCCAGCGCATTGCGAGAACATGGGAATCAGTATGAACCCAGCCAAAGAGTGCATTGCCGAACATGTAATTCACAGTGCAAAGGATAGTAAGTGGGTCTTGCAGTCAATAACGCAAGGTTCGAATCTCGCTTAGGTGTTCTTTTTTGCTGTTGTAGTTTGCATTCTTCAAAACTTCCGTAGCACGTTTACGGAACTTCAGCAAGTGACCCGGCACGGCTTCCTAAAACGTTTTGCGAATGTTTCGTTCAGTTGTAGAAGAATTTGTTATTTACGATTTGAATATGCGAAAATGCATTTGAATTTTCGGCGGTCAGAAATTAAGTGAGAGCCAGAAAATGAACCATAACTCTCTTATTCTGATCTTTTGAGCCTCCAAAATTGTCAGTGCTAAGTCTGACTTTTCATTCACCAGGACAATAATGGATGCTTTGATGACTGTACTTTTTTGGTTTCAATTATATAATATTAGGCTGAAAAATCGTGCCATTTTTTGATGCTGTCTCAAAATATCACAGAGTAAGATGGGCGAATGCCTTATACAGCGCTCGATGCAGAAATTTTCCTCTTTTTAGCAGTAACGTTTCTGTTCCAAAACCTTCGCCACTCGAATAATCATGATAACTCCAACCTAAGTTTTTCGCCTACCCTTCCTTTTAGCGAGTACTCAAAAGTCTTTTTTTTGGTCTTTGTATATGTTTACTTGAGCCGATCACCAAGATTATAGCACGCTTTATTCAATCAGGCTAACGCTTCGGTGCCTTCACCTTCGTCGGAGCCTGGAAGATCGTCACATTAGTGATTTGTTCTCCCGAACACCTCGTTCAAGCCAAGGTTACATTCAACATCAAGCCAGGCTGAAACCCGTGACGGAAACCGTCGTTCATGCTCGCCTCGGCAGTCTTCGAATCGGGGTCGAGCCACCACTAAACACAGCGTCTGCACAGTCAGTAGTAGTAGAGACTAGTACAGGTGCCTTATACAGATGAATCTAATCTTAGTGTAGATCAAATCCGCAAAGGGACTGATATGCGATTAGATCACTATTCATGGCAACGCCCTCTTCTTTGCGGTTCATTGCAGGAGCTTTGGATGTTGTCCAAAATGCTTCTAGCGTTTTAGAGGAATTATTTCGGGTTCACGCGTTAAGATTGTGACGGCTATATTAAATTGTTGATCCGAGTGATACTCTCTGCGATGTGCGCCTAGGGGAGTGTTCGGTTTAGATTTTACAAGACCATCTAGGCGCTCTTTGATTCTCACGCAAAGAGGCCTGCCAGTCTCTCCTATGTACTCTTTCCCGCAAGTTTGACAAGTTATTTGATAAACTACTCCTGCCTCCATGCAATCGCCTGGTTGACCAAATGGGCATACGACACAATCGGTATTCATGCACAGTCGATCGTAGGAGCGATTACGAATTAGTTGTTTTTTAAGACTGGGAGGAGGAATATTTACAATGCTAACGGAGTCATTAAGGCCTGCTTGTTCTAACCTTTTCCTTATCGCTTTGCTGAATTCTTCAGATATAAAAGGAACACAAAAAGGTATTTTTGCTTCATTCTTGCTTGTGCGCGATCTGTATTCATGCCAGGTACGTTTCGATAAATGGTTTGGGGTAGCCATTGGACTTCGCAATCTGTCTGGCAAGACTTAACGATGTAGCGCGTTCTTGCTCGGAGGAAACTGCCTTTGCAGTCCTAAACATATTGGAAATTACCGACCTTTTTGTGCTCCAAGGATGATTTTTGCTGCTTGGTTTTGGAAACCATTTGGTCTTGTATGATCCATTACGCAACTGTATTTGGATGTTAAATGCAGTGTCCGGGCAAAAACTCGATTTTGAGATTTTGTGCTTATACAGGCCTATTCGCCATGCTGAATCCGAAAATCCACATTGGAAAGCGCGAAAACGGCGAAAAAGGGCCCTAACACAGGAGGAAAATCAGCAGGTGGGCGGGGCTTGCCCCAGTGCGATTTCACGCTCCCGGCTCCCTGAGCGATTTTCTCGATTCCGCTAGCCGTCCTAACATCGCTACCGGTCAAGTGCGAATAATTGACTTGAAACCGGAAGCGAGAAGGTCGCTCCGGAAGCCGGGAACGTGAATTCGCAGTGGGGAGGGCCCCGCCCACCTGCTCATTTCCCTCCTGTGTTAGAGCCGTTTTTCGCCATTTTCGCGCTCTACAATGTGCATTTTCGGATTCAGCGTAGCGAATAGGCCCAAGTAAGCACAAAATCTCATAACCGAGTTTTTGCCCGGACACTGCCTTTAAGGAAAGGCGTGCTTTTGCTTCGTGTGCATTCAAGCTTATTGTAATGATTTTCAAAAGTGTCATGTCCGTTTTAGCAGCGTGAGAAAGGACTAGGTTAAACTATATATGTTCATGTCTTATTACGTAATTGACTACTGTGACAAAAAACCAAATCTTTCCTTGGCAGTTGTATACAAGAAGTAAGAGGCGGTGCAAGCACATGTTCTTCGTTATTAATTGTGCCATTGCGGAAATTTTCAAAAAGAGTAGTTGCAAAATGGGACTGGGCTACATTTACTTTTGAATAGCCAGTTCTATTGAAGAACATATCTCAGATTTGAGCAGATACTGCTTGACCTCCACAGTGCGACTAAGCAATGTGGAGTGGATGGCACAGAGACAAGCGCATAGCATAGATGCACATTAGAAGGCGATTTTCAATAGTGTGAATGGTGATATGCTAATCAATTACATTCCTGCAACGTTTACGCGTGCATTCATGGTAGCCGAGCAATCTTAATGATAGTGGTAAACGCAAGATATTTACATCTTTTCTTGCACAGTGACCTAACGCCGCCAGAAGAGAGCATGCATTGGAAAGGTTAACCCTAATGTCAAAAGATAAAGAGTGAGAAGAAAAGGGAAAGGTTTGAAGAACGTGAGGCACGCTCTGAAGCAAACGTTTTTTGTTTTTCGTTCACTTCTTTCTATCGTCAATGTCAAGATAGCGTGAATTTTTACATCGCGGAATAGCCGGGCAAGGCCGGGTATACCAGCTTACAAATAAATTTTCAATGCAGCTTCTGAAAAAAAGAACAAAGCCAATTACGTATAATGAAAGTAACGTTTTTTCTTGCTATCATCGTCGCAATCAGCTGTTCATTGATCCTCTCCTATTTAAGCCCCAGAAGTTGTGCAGTTTTGGGAGTCTTGCACCGCAGCAATGCGTCAACTGAATTGTCCCGTCTCACAAGCAACTTACGGGAATTCTATCTAATTCTCCTCTTTTGCACACTATCTTCCTCGGTTCACCATAGACTCTGCCCTGGCTAAATGGCATTTTGTTGAACTAAACGTGACACTTAGCGGTCTTTTGACTGTTCAACGAGCGCGGGAAGTGGGCAGTATCAGGTTCACCCTAGGAGGTTCTTCTAAATGATTAATCTCAGGTCGACTGAGATGAATGAGGGCAGGGTGGGCAGTGGGCATAGAACAGCAATAGTTTCTTCAATGAACAAAATTTAAGTCGGTTAGCACAACAGTAGAATGTTTTCTCCAAGTTGTTTTCAATAATCTGGAAATCTGCTCAGAACTGTTTTTCTTGAGAGTATAATTTTGCGTTGTCAAACATTGTTTTGCTATCAGTATTGGCTCGTTCACAAATGCTGGGCCTTTCTCCTTTTCCCACTCGTCTCCGCGGGCCACTCTTCCGATAATGAGATCCTTTAAAGAAAATGAATATCTGACAATTCAAAATCTTTTCAATTGCGCAGATCCCGCATACAACAGTTCGCAACAGTGAGCACAAGCAACATAGCACAAACGTGTAATCAATGTTATTCCCGTTCTTCGTACTCTTACTCTTCCCTCTGGTAAAGGCTGTAACAACTCCAGCAAACGGTAAGCGCCTTTCAGATTCACGTTATATATCATTTCCGCTCATGAATCATGATTTTATATTCTCAAGTAAACGCTACTGCTTCATTTCGCCGTCCCTCTATCGTCGCAGCAAAAAATGTCAGTTTCCAGGTCTGTGATATATCTTCTGACTATTTAAACACAGGATCAGCTCCCGAATTCATTTTTAGGCCTAAGGCATACCTCACGCGATTATGCCGAATCGCCATTTTCATGCGACTTGGCGATTTGCCAGATTTCTACAAATCTATCGTGCGCGCTTCTCGAACGCACATTTGGGTAGCTTGTGTAAGTTTTTGCAAGCGCATCAAGTTCTGACCAAAGGCAGCGCATTAACAACGAATAATGAAGAGTCGCTGTGTGCCAGATCGCGTAGCGACCGAAATCGCGCGAGGTATGCCTTAGGCCTTAGACTGCGGTGGTGAGCGCCGAAAAGGTTGGTGGGCATTGTTTGTGTGAGTAAAAGCATAAGACTAATCGCATACTCGTGTATCATGTAAACTTGTTCTACCAGAATCCATTTATACTTTAAGCAATAAATAAGAGACTTTATCGCATGTTTGAGTGCGATCTCGCACAAAGGGTGAGATTTGAGTTGCTGCGTGCAACGACGAAAACAAAACTTGCTCAGGAAATCAAGAAGAGCGGGGAGTTGCGTTTGGATTAGGAAATGTCGACTACGCCGACCAATATATGATAACACAAACAGATAAAGCGCATGACAAGCTTGTTCCGAACTCGCCTAAGGCGGCGCCAGCAACTATCAAGTAGTTGCTGGGATTAATCATTAATGTTAGGCTGTTGTTCAACTTTTGCGTTTTCCGTAGTTCTCCCTTTGCATATGGTATATTCAAGCTTTGGGAGTTTAGACCATAATGTAGTCTACGAATGCACCAACTTCCAAATTCTGGGAACCCGTGTAATGTTTACAGTATGTGTACGGTAAAGAAAAAATTCAAGGATTGCTCCAAACGTTTTTCCAGCTGCTACTTGGTCTAGGGGGTTTCTTACACGCTGATTACGAAAATCACACACATTTTGTAGGAAAATATATCTTTGGTAGGGTCACAAAAATATCTAGTTTGACGACAAATGAGTATGATAGTTGTGTTCAGCATGCAGAATTACACTGTACTGCAGGATCTCGGCAAATTCTGATGATTCTTCCACTAGTCATTGACTGTCAGCTAAATTTTGCGTTCAGCTGTGCTAATCATCTTCCCGATTTCGCCAAATCTCGAATTCTCCAAATACCATTACTTTTTTACAGAGACTAAAGAGCCAATCTCTGACAATAACTCTGGTTCGATACGGTGAGATTAGACCAAGAAGCTTCATCTTTGCTTTTATTCCAGTGAATTTTTAATCTGTGCTGGCTTGTAGCACCCAATGCAAAGTCCATAATGCCAAAGTTTGAGCGCGCCATATTCTAAGCGAAATGTTATGAAGGGAGTTGCGAAACATAGTTAACAGCCTGATATTTTATTTCAAAGAATTGTCAGAATTTGCCGAGATCCTGCAGTAACTACGTGAAATATTGGTACCAATCCTCATTAGCTGACCCGAAGAATGAAGATTGCGGATTTCATTATAAGGGATTTCGCACCCTGGTTACGATATCACATTTATTTCGAACGTAGTGCCATTTCCTCGGGTTACGCTGGGTATACATCTAACGAACGTAGTGCCATATCCTCGTTACGCTGGGTAGGTATCTAAAATCCCGGCGGGCACCGGAAGACCCACGTTGCCAATTTTTAGAACACCCCTTGCAGCTCTTTGGAAAATGATCAGCAAGTTTTTGAGAGGCCGCCTGTTAAACCGTCCTTTTTCCGCTCTAACTTTTCGCGGATATATTGCTGATTTTTTAACGGAGCAAGAATTCAACAAGCGCAAAAACTCGTGGACCTTTTCGAAAAGCGGAGTGCGAGAAATCAACCATCTATTTTTCGGATGCCCACCTACTCCGGCGATTTTCTGAGACTTGGCCCGTATCAAATCGGTCAGATCAGTTGATCTGATATGAGGGCCTCACATAAGGTTTTTGAGATGAATTGACCAGCGACCACTTCCACCGCTATAAAAATGCGACATGACCTCAAGGATAAGCGTCAAAGCACTTCCGCGGTAATTTCACCTGACTTCCGTAAGAAAGCGTCGATTTTGAGTTGATCGCAAAGAGATAGTGTGCAAGGGATAAGACGCAGAAAAAAAACCCCTTAAGTCGCTCGTGAGTAACTTACGGGATACGTAATGTAACCTATTATTGCGGGCTAGAGTGCGCGAAACTGCACGTTGAGGGGCTACGGATTGAAAGAGTTGATGAACAGCTGATTGCACCCAAGATTGGGGGAAGACTCATTTTTTGCATGGTTATTTAATATTGTAATGCTTTATCTTATATATAAAGCTGAATGTCTGTTCGTCTGTATGTCTGTATGTCTGTATGTACGTATGTTCCGAATAGAAAATTCCATTTCTGAACCGATCCGGACCAAACTTGGCACACATACACTTCGGGGCGGGCGGGTGTCATAGGCTACTTTTCGTGATCGATCGATATAAATTTATCGATTTTTTGCAATGTTCGACTGCGGGGCTGGGAGTTTGCACAGTGGGGTAATCGAGCATGCTGATTACGATTACAATATTAGTTTTTAAAATCGTCCATTTTATCGATTTTATCGATTTTTTTTGCAAAGTTGGGCTACGGGGCTCGGATGGCACAGGGAGGTGATCGAGCATGCTGATTACGAGTTCGATATTAGTTTGGCGCTATCCGGGCCCCAAAATTTTTTTGTGGTAGAGCTTGCTCAAACTTCGTGTATAAGGGTTATCTTAAGGGCCGGGCATACTTCAAGCGATTTCAATCGCGACGCGATTTGGCATTCCAGGTATCCACAACTCATTGTAAGCACATTATAAATGTACAGAAGATAGGGCATTTCATCAGTTTACGTAAGTTATACACACTATGCATGTACAGTTTGCTAATGTTGGATCCGAACTTCTGGCGAATTGCCAAATCGCGTCGCAACTGAAATTGCGTGAAGTATGCCCGGCCCTTTACATGCTGATTACAGATATCACACTTTCTCCGCAGCACGTCTTCCCGTGTGGTTACGATAGGTGTACGGTAGGAAGTCAAAATTATGAATTCGGCTGGACTTCGGTCCATATGGCTTATTCGACATGCTAATTACGAATATCATCTCTCTTTGCATATTAGGACCTTTTTATAGAGTTGTGGTGGTTATATGGCATGGGGTCGAAAACATAGATTTGCTTTAAACTTTAGGGTGGTCATTTAGCGCGCTGAACATGAATATCTTGCCGATTTCGCAGGATAGTGCATTTTCTTGGGTTACGGTGGGTGTAGATGGGTCGAAGTTCCAGATTTGCTCAAAACCTTACCTGTAACATTTCACAAGTATATCGCTTATGAATATGGTGCTTGCTCGCTGTCATAACGCAATAGTGAAGCTATGGTGAGTTGCAGGGTTTGAATGGACATTTTTTTGCTTTCGGGCCAATTTAGATCCCAGATATTCACAAAATGGGGAAACGGTCGTTTTGTATGGCGGTCTCCAGCGCCATCCTGATAACCTGTCCCAACGCGTAACGCACGCGGCAAATCTCCCTCCACCTTGCTTAGGCAAAAGCCGCCGAAGGGTGTATCGCGCGCGGCAGCGGTCCTATAAGGGAAAGCATTACGGTCGTGGGAAACTTTTATACCACACGAATTGCCGTTATCGCGGGGATTGAGCACGATATTCTTGAAACAGCACTTTAGGTAATTTTCTGCCAAGGTTTCATGCAGGTTCTTGATTTTTACCCGCTGCCTATACCTACCGTAACTCTGCGAAAAGGTCTTAAAACGCAACGAGAGTGTTTTAGACGTGGTCAGAAGGTCGAATCTCTCTCGACCGAATTTCAGCCAAAACTGAGATTTCGCCCCCCCCCCCCTGCAGTATACCTACCATAACTCAGTGAAATCGCCTCAAAATGCCGAAGGAGTATGATATTCGTAATCAGCATGTCAATTAGCCCCCCTCAAAGTTTCAGCGAAATCCATAATTTTAGTTACTTATGTGTACCTAACGTAAACCCAGAAAATGGCGCTATATCGCGCGACATGACTACGATATTCGTCATCAGCGGCTTTACTAATCCCAATGTACCGACTTTGAGCAAGATCCATCACAAACATTTATGGGCCGGATAGCCGAATAGCGCCATCAGTTTTCAGAATTATCCTTACTTTTACCGGTTTTGTTGTTTTTTTTGCAAAGTTTGAGCTACGGAGCTGGGGATTGTTGAGAGAGGTAGGTGGGCATGCTGATTACTAACATAGCGGGAGTGGTGAATTGCATGTAAAAGTGGGCACAACGAAAGGTTCTACAGGGACAGGGATAAAACCTTAATCATAGCATTAACAGGGCCGGGCGGAGCCGGGTATCCAGCTAGTTTCCATATAAAATTGCGTAAAGTAAAATTTCTTTGCTTATCTCATAGTCATTCTGTTCATTATGGTTTTTCATGAGGGATGCGGTGCAGGAGGAACCAAAGGCCTGCCGCCTGTTACCGCAGGAGACAATTAGAAGCGCGAGCACGGTGGAGAAGATTTTGGCAGCAATCCAGGAAAACTTGGCAAGGATATCAATTGCAAACAAACCCTTATAACTGTGCTTAGAAATGACTTTGAAAGATATGAAACACAGGTTTGGAGTCAGCATTGAAAGGCGCATTTTTCAGTATAGGCCTTCCGTCTAAATAAACAACTCTATCGCTATTTTAGCTCCATTTTTAGCGAAAAAAGTATACAGATGATGGAAATCTCGAAGCCAGCATTAGAAACTGAGGCAGCTTCGTGATGCGTAAAAGTTTTCGCTAGATTTCATGAATTTTTTCAATAGGATCTCTAGGACTTCATTTGAAGTTCAGTACAAAAGCTGAAAATTAGGAGATACAGGTAAAAGTTAAATTGCGATAAACTTTTGCTGTTGTATACAATCTCGTAGTACAGTGAAAGTACCATCGCCGGGATTCATCGCGCAGTCATGAGAGATTTCACAAAATGCCAAATAGAACTAATATGAATCGAAATTATC